TGAAAGGGATTTATGAGGGTTTCTAGAAGGGGTACTGTGAGGGTACGACAAGGGTAGTTCTCTACATAGGGTCCCTTTGTAACGGAGGCGAAAAGGACCCGACAAAGGAACCCTAATTTAGAGAACTACCCGAACCCAAACAATACATCCGGAGCAAGATCTTGCCAGCTGCAGAAATCTTCTGTGCAGTACGGGTTTAGGGTTTTGGGCTTAGTGAGTACTCTACTACACCATGGTATACTACGTTACGATGCTATACCAGACCATAACATACACGACCATACTAGGTCATGCCATACCAGTCAAGCCATATCAGGTGAGAGGGACTCTGCTGCCCCTCTTGGGCTTTCACTCCAGGGTAATGCAGGGGCCTGAACAGTTAGAATAGGGTTTTAGGGTGTACTATACTAAAATTATCATAAGGAACCCCGCTTTACCAGTATAGGTAATTATTAAGGGGCCTATATTAAGTGGTTGTGCAGTTGTTGTGTCTCGCCCAGGGTTGGCTTTGGCTGAGTCCCGGGAGGGCTGGGGGCTTCGATTCAAGGGCTTCGGGTCGAGGGATTAAACGTTTAGGGTTTAGGACCGTTTAGGGTTTGGGGGAGGTTACGCCGATTTAGGCGTGTTAGGCAAACTGTTTCGGGATTTCTGTTTTGGTGACAAACCTGTTCCCTAATCCCGCAACCCTATGTAATTCTAAACCTAAACATCCCGAATCAGATCCTGAACGAGCATCTGGTGATGTTTGGGGGGCAAATTGTTGGAAGAAGGATCTGTTCAGTTGACGAGCGACATGCTGCATGCAACGTACCGAAAAACCATCCATTACTGATCTGAATGCGTCGAAGAGCAGTCAGATACCCGGGAGATCTGGAGAGCAACGGAAAAGATCCCTTCACAAGGCGTTGGACGCAGGCATACCGTCGTGATCATATATGATATTCTCAACGGCAACACCAGCTTTGATGTCCAGAGAGGCCATCAGTTCACACGCGCCAGCCCCGAACCGCTTAAACAGAGACATGTCCGTTCTGAGCTCCCGACTGCGAAGAGAATTGGGATCGCTCAGCACAACCATCTACACGAAGATTTTGCTATGGGGAGTGTACGGCTGAGGGTTAGGGGTTTAGGGCCCAAAGCTTAAGATCTTAAGGCTTGGAGTTTGGATGCAGGGTGCTTAGGTTGGCTCAGGGATTGAGCTATAGAGCTAGAGTCCTAAGATGTGTGTGTTTGGGTCTTATGGGTAGTCTATATGGGTTTTTGCATAAAGGGTGGAAGGCATTGATGGCGACATGGCTGGAGTCCTCGCTGTTGCCTTGCGCCTGGGTCTCCTGGAGCAGTGACCTTGAAATCCCCGGCCGGCACGGCAGGTGCAAAGTTCCGAGCCCTCCATCCTTGGGCCCTGAACCCCGAACCATTGATTATGCGCAAGCCTAAGTGGGCAAGACACAGACACCCGACAACCTGTGCAATACTGGGATGGGGTGTTGTCAATATTAAACGACGAGGATGTCTGATGTAGTGGCAGAGTCATGACAGACAGGAATGAAATCGTAGTGCTGTGGCGGCACATATTCGACATATTCTTCAGAGGCTACGGATAGGGCAGACATCAACGGCGTCGACAGCAGCCAGAGTCATTTCTAGAACGACGAAAGGCTCTGTACCACAGGAAAGTTCCATCATAGAAATAGAACACGCGCGGGCAGAACGGCAGACACACATCATAGGTGAGGGATTTCGGTCCTGGGCCAAGGCTTTGGGACTCCGCGGGTGCAGCGGTGAACAGGCCAGTCACTTTTGCACCATGCACGTAAAAACTACAAAATGAGTTGTCCAGACACGAGTGCTGGGAAGGCACGCTCGCCAATCGCGATGCTGGCTGCACGTTCGCTACAAGAGGTTATTGGGGAGATCTACGAAATGGTCGCGACATCTTTACACATTCCTTTGCCGACGGTTTCGCTTTTTATGCAAAGCAAAACTCACTGAGATATTCGAAGAACCACTGATATCAGAAGAGCAGACTGCTAAAACATCCTGAAGCTTACAACAATAATGTCATTGTGACATCTCAGAGGCTTCTTTAACGGCTGATAGAAAGAGCACAATGCCGTTGGTGCATTTACTCTTTGCCAGGGTTTCGGGCTGGGAGCCGACTCAACAATCCGGCGTGCTGCATACTACATACGTAAACTACGTGGCTGAACACTGCGTGCATCATATCATCCCAGATGAGCCTGCTTCATTCTTGCACATGAATGTCAACATGAGAAGCGAATAACAGTATGGAACAAAATCTTGTCTTACATGTAATGGCAAGGGCAGTGAACATTCGCATACAGGAGTCGTTCCCTCAATTCTGTTTCATACAATTCTTGTCAATGCAAGACCTCTTGAAGGGGTTGTTCCTTTTACACCTAAAGGTGCGGCAACGCGATGAAAGCGGAAGTGCGTCCCAGCTTGGTCTTCTATGCGCCTGTCGTGACAGAGCCGTTAACGATGCTCTTGCACGAATGCATCTGACATTCAGGGTGTAAACATTCGGATTTAAGGCTTGAAGCTTTCGTGGTTAGTGCACGGCGATGTCTATGGATGCAAAACAGTCTCAAAACAACAACTCTTTGTACACGCCCTGGCCTAGAAATCGCTACTTTGCTAAGAAATGCGAAACCCGCAGGCGTCGTCAATGGCTCTAACGGCTTTGAGACACACCGATTCCAAGAAAGTCTCTGCTGGGGATGGCCAAAGGTTGGACGGGCTGACTTGTTCGAAAAACTACTCAAGACTCTTTAGACTGGGATTCAGCTCCCAGGCAGAACCACATACGAAGCGGCTCTCAAAATCCAGACCACAACTCAGTAAGATGTGCCGTAAAGCTGCATACTCCTGCGGTCAACGGCAGGACTCTCGGGCTTAAATCTCACTCGGAACGCTAAACTGTACCAACACCAACACCGAATGCCCTCGGCAACTCCCGAGACTTCCAACATCGGCGCTAGTGCGAGAGGCCGCATTTTGGCCCAGAGCGGGCTCCGTTTCGGGGCCAGGGCTTCGGGGTTTAGGGGTTTAGGGTTTAAGGTGTTTAAGGGTTTCATAAAGTCTTACCGCCATGACTTTCTTTTTGGTGTATGAATGAGTTTCTAGGTTGGGTTGGATAAGTTGGATAAGTTCGTGCATATGCAGGTAGGGTGTTTTGTCGGGTGTTGTTAGGCAAACTTCTTGGGTTCTACACGAACTCTATAGACCCTACAAGCCCATACTGAGGTTTTGTTGCGCATGATGTGATGTTACAAGACATGAAGCTGACCCCAAAGCGAAATACATGCGCGCGGATTGACTTCTGACCCTCGTTCGCTGAAGCTGCTTATCCGCAGCCATAGGTAACCTCGAAGTCACAAGCCCCAGCCTTCTTTATCGTGCGTGAACATAGGGGACTGAATCATTAGATGAGAATGGGGTCTGGGGGGTGTACTATGTAAGGCTCAAACTGACTTCTACAATAATAAGAACTTTAATACCAATAAAGATATGAATAATGGCAGTTTTTTGTAGAGGACTCTAAGGGGTAGTTACTCTTAGGGTTTGGAGATCCCCTTCTCCGGGCTTCTCTGCGCCTTAGCTCACATCCGCAGGCGTGGTGAAACTATTGTGCTCTGAGGGAATCCCCGAACCCCTAAGCCCTAGACCAGTTTGAGCTTGTGCTTGAGATCAACTTGGGCCGTGCAGTTTGGGAAGGCTTGACAGGATCGGCGGCTCAGGGTTCAAGGGCTTACAATGGGCTTCAGGGTCAAGATGGAGGTTTGCCTGTGGCCCAAAAGACCTGCCCTTTTAAGGAACTATATAGAAACCACAATAAGGGACTCCAAAAAGGTAGGTCTTTTCGGCTACAGGTAGGCTTTAGGAGTTCAGAGGTGATTAGGCTTCCGGAGTTCGGGTTCAGGGTTTAGGGTTCAGGGCTCCCTCTTCTCTGGGGATAGAAGACTCAGCCGCGGCGGCTGCGATCTATATACACGAGTCGCGGGTCAGTGGACACGGGAGACCGCCCAACGACCTGGGATACTGCAACCTAAAATCTCAGTACACTGACCTCAAACCTAAAATCCTAAACCCATCAAGCTGCAAAACCATGCACCATACTCCCGGAAGCCTGCAATCTCGCGTTTGAGACCGGCTCTGCAACTGCTACCCGCCCGTTTGAGCAACACTGTGTATGTTTTCTTGCAACACAAACAAGGGTACCTTGGTTAGAAGACGACCTGCCGTATAACTACCCGTAACTACCCATGAAGCTTCATCTACCCCGACGCCCGGAAAATCCAAACGCTCCTCAAAACTTCCCTCCCTCCGAGAAATCCCCGATCAAACTCTACTAAACCTCCTACTCGACAAGGCTTTGTTAGACAATGGCTTTAAGACTCTTACGTCAAAACCTGCCTTGGCTTGACTTTACTTGGCTTGTCCGAAGACCTCTTCATGATGACTCTGACAGAGACATAACGAGACCATAGTGTGCGAGTACATGTATGTGTGCATGCATGTACGTAAGTGTGTATGTATGGGTGTATGTACGTGCATGGCTGTATGTATGTGTGCGTTGTATACGGTATGCTACATTTCATAAAAGTCTGTGTATATGTAGATATGGGCATCTGCACTACTGTACGAGAACAGTATGTTTAAGTGGCTAAGGGTCTGAAAGTCATTTGCCACTTTTCTGCGATTATACCGGGTCTGCTGTTGGACGGGGTCTTCTATTGGACAAGCTCTTCTAACTCACAAGGGCGTTCGGATGTGAGTAGTTTTGATTTTCAATCGACTTGACGGCTTGACTTGGCTTGGCTTAGTTTGGTTTGATACCACATAACATAAATCTACATACATATATCTGTGCATGTACTTACATATAGACATCGGGAAAAAAGACAGGGAGCGAGAGAGAGAGAGAGAAAGAGAACAAAAGAAAACACTGAGCCCACAGCGCAGGGGTCCAGGCGGCCTCACCTGGAACCCAGTGCACCACAACAAAAAAAACAAGAGCACTACTACAACAAAGAACGATAAAGAGCGCTTTGTTAGAAAATGTTCCTCAACCTTGGGAACTATGAGACGCTCCAGTTGCTGCAGTCTTCGGTCATGACGGCGAAGATGGTGATGATGAGATCAAGGGAATGGCGGCAGTGATGAAGATGCGATTGGCGAGTAAGTTAACACTGACATGGTTGACGACGATTTACATGATGCTGCGAGTGCTGCTAGTGACGGTGGTGGTGGAGATAACAAGATCGAGATGAATGTGGAGTAGTGGCGTTCTCTGCTGCATGAGAACTAGAAAATCATGAGGATGAGGAGAAGGATACGTGTCAAACCCCCCAAAACAGAGCCTAGCGGAGCAAGCAAAACAGAAGCTTCTTGTCAGTTGCACTTGCGGATCACATCAAAACCAACTGGTTGCCAATAATTACGAAGCAGGTCAGACGCGAAAACGGAGACAGCAACACGCACCACAACAACAACGACAACGACAACAACGACAACAACAACAGCTACCCATGTTACACAATCATGAAAATTATTCCACAGCCGTCATCATCGAGGGCGGAACGACCCTTCAGCAACACCAGTAGCCAGAACTACACAACCAGCAAGATCATGAAGTCTTTTGAACGATCAGCCTTAAAGCGATCAGAGCAGAAACGAGCCAAAACAACGCCCGCTGGCCTGAGAAGATCCCAAGACAGTACCCTGACCCCGGGATACAAACCTGGACAAACCTAAACGCCGAACCAAAAGATGGCGACTGACCTCGTGCCCAAGACTGGCGTAAGTGTTGGCTGAGCCAGGCCTTGATTCAAATTCGGCCGGTTTTACGGTTTACGGTTTAGGGTTTAGGGTTTAGGGATTGGTTTAGGGTTTAGGGCTTTGGGGGTTTAGGGTTCAGGGTTTGGGGTTTACGTGCTCTCAGGCTCGAGGCCTACATGCGTGAGGTGGGTTAGCGGTGTCGCGCAGGGCTTACTGCAAGGGGAGGGAAGTACAGGGCTTTGTGCCGTTTAGTTTCTCTGTGAACTCATAGACGCCGCATCAAGGCCAGAACGGCATGCCTGATTGCAATGACAACCGGAGAATAAGGATTACTGCGATTATCTTTGCATATTGTTGAATGATGTTGAGTGTCGTTGTGTGCTGCTGTCTGTTGTTCTAAGTCCTCCTTGAATGCTGCATGTTGGTTTGCTGACATTCCCACTAGTCATATCCTTTCTGCTTTCTGATGTTCCTGCGGTTGTCCTTGGCAGAGGCGGCAGTGGCTATTGCTAGCAATGAAATGCCCTCCTTCTCAGCATCCGGCGCGGTGGCGAGGCGGAGGCAGCACGGCCACGGGGTACCGGAGGGCTGACCTCATTTCGAGTTCGATGCGCTCGTGCTCCTGAAACACGCTTGTTCAAGGGCATCCGGGTCCAAGCTACACGACTCCGGTGCTGAGGCTAACGAATGCCGGAATTTGTCCTTCAGCACTCGTGCTGCAAGTAGCACTACGCCGACTCTACTACTACAGCGCCCACAACAACGGCGACGACCACGACTGACAACAACGGCGACCTCGACGACCCCTACCGTCTCAGGCGCTTCGGACTAAAGCTTCGTGGGCAAGTGCCTGGGCTTATAACAGTATTGTAATAGTATCATAATCGCGTAATAGTACGATAATACTCTAGTCTAATGCTGTTATGCTCTTTACCAGCAGTGCAGGGTTTTAATTAGGGAAGACGGTTACCGAGGGCTTGCCAGTTCAGGACTCTTGGGCCCCGTAAAAACCACCATGTCGAATCCCAAACGACGGTCCCCCATCGTCGCAGGCGGATCGTGCGGAATTCGGTAAACAGACACTTTCTTCGCTGACTCTCGATTCGTCCGACCCAAGCTCCAGGCATAAGTGAAAGGGAGCTGAGGAACCTGGATATGCCTGCGACGGATCGTTAGCTTCTGCATGTGGGAGGCTGCTTCGAGATTCAGGACTGTAGCACTGTAGAGCTTGGCATCAACCGTGGACTTTGGATCAATGTATCATACCTTAAACCCCAAACCTATCAACCTGGGCCCCAAACCGCTCCTTCCACCCAGCCTCAACCCCAACACCACAGCCACAAACCCTGAAACCCTAGACGCTTAATTAAAACGCGTACAACCACACACCCTCACCAAAAAAAAAGAAAACCTCTGCAACACAAACCGTGAGGAACGCAAGCCCTGTTAGCCTGAAAGGTTGCATAGGCTCTGAAGTCTGAGCCCAACGTCCCTGTCAAGAAATCCAACCCAAATAGATCGCCAGACAGATACATAGACGTTACTTTACAAGTATAGTCTCCTTCTCTATGTATATGTGGATACATATACTGTATGCAGATACAGAAAGATTGACAAGTTTGCGGCTTACGGTGTGCTTTGACCTGACATCTCTGCACAGTGATGTGGATCCATGATGCATGCACGGGTCTAGGGTTCATCACCGTTCGAATGTTCCTTGAGATAGATGGTTGAAAAGTATTTCGAAAAGTTCTCTACTGGCATGGGGAAATTAATTTAACGGTCTTGTCTCTACTACAGCACGATACATCCACTGCTGGTTAAGTTGTTGATGCCGGCCATGAGACCGATAAGGAAATCGTCACCGCAATCGTCACCCTCAGCAGCGCGATGGCCACGGGAAACCTAATCCTCAGCCGCACACTGCTCCACACTCTCCTACTCTTGTCGTCATCATCATCACCATCATCATCATCATCATCATCATCAAGATCATCATCATCATCGTCGTCATCCTTGTCGTCGTAACTGAATCAAAATGACAATGATCCATCACCCATCATCACCGTTAGAAGTAAATACCACACTGGCAGCCGCAACAGCAAAAGCAGCAGCGGCAGCAGCGGCAGCAGCAACAGCAAAAGCAGCACCAGCACCACCACCAGCACAACCATGCAACAACAACGACGACAACAACAATGCCCAGCTTCAAGTAAGTCTTTCACAACTCCAGTCCACAAGTCAGAAAGCCTTTGCTTCCAAAATCCTCAGAAGCGCCTGATCGCATGCGGCTCCGTTGCTCCCGGTGCTCGTGCTGTGGCCACAAGCTGCGGCGGGGAGCGCCAGCTTTGGGACCTTGACGGAAGCTGTCAGGGGAGTCTGAACAACCAGCACTAATATCCCGATCTACATACAACTGTAACAGTATACCCCAACCCCCGATTCCAAATCATTAAGGCCAAATATTCAAATCGCATACAACTCTTGAGAACGCCCTTGAAAAAAAAACAGAAAGCAAGAAGCAAAACACAAAACCATTATTGTGTCCCTACATGCACCGAAGCCCGAGGTTCCGGCGCGGGATCCTGGGGAGGGAAGGGAGCCGCGACGCCCTCTCGGTGCCGTCGCGGAGTCACCTCAACACTCGCTCTCTAGGTTTAAGGGTTTAGAATCTGAGGTTTGGGGTTTAGGGTTTAGGGTTGTGACTCAAACATTTGCTGGGGCTTTTGAATAATAACTCACAGAAGGATCCTTGCACCAAGGATCCTACGGCTCAGTGTCTATGTATCTGCGTCCAAGTCTGCGGTCTACGAACCTGTAACCACAGAACGGCGAAGCCGAATCATGATTGGAAACGCCCTCGCTTGCTTTGGCCTTGTGATTTTCGACTATTCTCATCTCTCTGACAAGCACCAAGCCTTTGCTCATGCTGTTAACTTCGAACCTATTGCCACTGTCATGACTGTAACGGGCAGCAGGAGCCGCAGCAGTAGAGGTAAAACCACTGATTGCAATAGCCGTCGGAGGCACTTGCTGTAGCAGTAGCAGCTGCATGAGCAGTGGCAGTCCTCGTTGTCCTCTTCATCCTCCTTCTACTCCTTTCCTGCGGCCACTACAACCACGACTACTACCACCACTACTAGTACTACCACTACGACAACTACAGCTGCGACTACCACTGCTGCTACTACTACTACCACCACCACCGAAGCTCCAGCCCTCACCCGAGGCTTGGGCCACTATTCTGGGATGCAGGCCGGGGACCTTCGACGTGAGTAGGCCACGAAGACGGTTCTTAAACTTAGGGCTTTTTGGTAAAGCTGGCTATGACCTTCTTTTGCAAGGATTTAGAGGTGTCATATAGGGTTGATGAGGGGTTCGCTTGGGTTCGGATTGGCTTAGGCCGAGAGGGTGGGCTTAGGCTGAGAGGGTGCACGGTTGCAGAGTTGGTCTGGGGGCTCGGGGTTGGGGTTTAGATCGTCAGGCCTTCGGGGGTTGCGGAGTCTTAGAACACACTTCTTTGGATTACCCTACAGGTTGTAGTGCGCAAGGTTTGTGTGAGCTCATGCGCACGTTCGTGTTGATGGACTGGGGGCTAGGCCTGGGACTAAGGGTTTGAAGCTCCCGTATTAAGGCTTTAGATACACTCATGCTTGCATCTGTGGGCGCTTTAAGCGTTTAGGTGGTTCCGGAGTAGCGGAGTTCTGCATTGTTGCTTTTCAGCTTCCGGCTGTAAGTCTGCACCCCTAGGCCTCCCATGACCAATGCCACCAGGCTCCAGCCCCGATCCTGAATTACATCCTGTGACGAAGGGCTAGACGACGTAAGGCACAAAGCTCCGCTGTGATCATCCCCCTTGGAGAGCCTTGGAGCCTTAGGGAAGCCGCTGCTCAAACTCTCAGGTGGGCTTGGCCGCATGATGGTGAGTGTGCCCCAAGCTATCTCGGATTGCTCCGAGGCTATTCGAAAACTCTGCAGTCTTGGAGTGAGGAAAGACGTAAGCGATAGCCCAAACCCGAACGCATGTGCTCAAATAGCAGATTCAACGTCGCAAAAGGTTGGCTTTCCCGACCTGGGCCACCGGTATAGTCTGCAAGCCTGGCCGGCCGAGGGGACGTGCTAAACCTTTATGCCTGGGTCGTGGGCTCTGTGTGGGCATCAGCGCTTGAACAGGAGGTAAGTTCCACACACCGAAACGAACAACGCCTAGAAAAGCTTGAACAGCTCTCCGCCTTCTTGTCGAAGAGGCTGCGGTAAAGCGAAGCCCGGGGCAGAGGGCCTTGGATGCACACATGCAGAGCAGCTGGTGTTGGTGATGATAACGATGATGGAAATCACAGTGATAGTGGCTGCGATGATGTAGAGGGGCAAGATCATGCTACAGATGATGGTAGCCATGCTCATGATGATGACGATGATGATGATGTTGATGATGGTGGTGCTGGCGCTTGTATTGGTGTGGGTGTTGGTGTTGGTGTGGCCGTGGGTTGGCTGTGAGTGTTGGCGTTGGTGTTGGTGTTGGCGAGGATGATGGTGATGGTGATGGTAACGATGATTCACATCAGTATGATTGGTGATATCTTTGCTGGTGTTGTCAGGAGTATGGCTGCAATGCTGATGTTCTTCGTACTCTGCTACTCTCGTTCTTGCTAGTACTACTTTGTATCGTGATACAAGTAATGCCGCTATTTAGAGCATCCATCTGGTAGCTAGTATAGCTGCTTCACTACTTATTTATGACTGTTGTGCTGATTGTCAGCAGTAGTAGTCGCCGCTATCGGAGGTCTTCGCAACCTTCTGTGCCTTAGGGTGTTGCGTGCTTTGTGCGAAAGGTGTTGGCTCGCTGCCCAACTAAGGTGCCACAAGGTCCTCAAAGCATTGATGCCCTGCATCTTTTTTGCCGAAGAACATGCTAGCAGACATCGGATAATGTCCTTGTTCTGCCTTGTTCCACGTTTTTCTACTAGCTCCAAACCTGCATTCGTCCGCGGCTTCTCCAAATCACTAGCCCCTCCAAGGCAACGACAGACCAAGGGGGAAGGCGGCCGTGCCAGGAGAGGCCACCTGGAAGAGGATTTCCGGTTCTGAACACAAGGTCCAAAGTTGTTTCCAGCTCTACGACTACAGGATGTTGGACTTCCTGAACAAGGATTTGGGGTCAAGGAACTGTCGATGCGAGCCTGATGTAAGCCCTACCTAGGGGGGGTGCAATCCTGGATTCTTTGAACCTGCCATAAAGCTCTGGCTCCAGGTTCAATTGGATGAATCATGGGCCTCAGCCCTACATCGACCCTAATCCACCCCAGTACAAACACTCCATGGTCCGTACTCGCTAGGGTGTTATGACAACAGTGGCACCAGGGCAATGAAGTCAACTCGCACAACCCTATACCAAACACCACCGTTCGTCAACCCTGAACCTTCAATCTTAACACAGACCATGAAGCCCTCACCTTCGTTCCTAAACTCTCAACCCTAACATCCTCGCTCCTCCCCGAGACATCTGAACCCAATGGAAACCCAAACATCTAAGCTCCGCAGCTCTGAGAAAGCCCACAACCCTAAAACCTCAAAGCCCCAATCAATGATAACGATGCCCTTCAAGCCCCTGCTCGCTAGACCTTAAACACCCAGACCACCCTGAACCCGCCAGCACCGTGCTGCCTGTCTGGGTGTTGCCAACATCGGCGACGGGATAAACGATCGGGGACCTGCCTGCGAGGGATGACTTTAGGCTACCTGCTGCCTGCTGCGAACACTGCTAAAGATCATGTACTGCAGACCTACTACTAATCTACTACTCAACTGCAACTACTCGAAAACTAAACGACGGCTGCTTCTGCGACGGCATCGTCGACTAGTACGACGACGACTGCTGCTACGACAGTTGAGGGTTTTGGGCAGAGGTCGTTGGCTCGGGCTTCGAGCTTGAGGGTTCAATTGAAAGAAACCGCATTGAGGGGGGCCCTGGCCCGTCCCACATCACACATGGCTTGGTCCTGGCTGAGTGTGGCTACCCTGAGGGCCTCTGAATCTGGTACCCCTAATTTCTGGAACCTCCCCATGTGACACCCGGAGCTCCCGGCCCGAGTTTGCGGCGTCAACGCCTCAGGAAGAAGCGCGAAGGTGAGGTTGCTCCGAACGCAAAGGACTCATATGTACTTACATCCGCACGAAGCGTCTGCATGTTCACTCAGCACCTCAAGCTTTGGCCTGTCAGATCCTGTGGTCCTCTTGGCTTGTTTCTTCCTGCGCTCCAGTCAGTCGGGGCCGGTGCCGGCACGTTGGACTGTTGCATCAGGTTTGCTGAGTTCTAGACTTCGTCTTGCGCAAAAATCTAAGCCAACACGTTAACTTCGCATAACACGCAAAGGCCATCTCTTCCGGGGGCCCCACTCGCGCCGTTTGCGGTGTTCCCTGCACAAAACACAAACTGCGATCCGAAATGCCCATACAGCTTGTGCTTCACGATATGGATCTTGTCATTCAAGCAGAAGATTCTGATGTAACCGTAACGAGCCTAACCCAGGTTTGATTCCGAAGGGCTTTTTGACTTAGTACTGAATGAGTTTCGCATAACATCCAAGGAACCCTAAACCCTATTCGGTGCTCCAGTTTCCCTTTCATCTCCCGAAGTGCCTCCGCAACAATTGCCCGCGGTGGCGAAACCCCGGCCATGCGGATGCACGGGCTTGGGTAGCCTGCGGCTTAGGGTTCAGGTCTTAAGTAACGTTTAGGTAGGGTTTAGGGTTTCCGGTTTAGGTAGGGTTTAGTTAGTCAGAGTTTCGGGTTAGGGCCTGCACTTGGGGTTTTCAGATTTCAACTGAGGCTCTGGATTTCGGCTTCAGCTTAGTCCGAAGTTGAGCTTTGGGTGCCGGTCTCTGAAACAGCCTTGGCAGACCGTGGAGGCTCCACAATCCAAGTGTTACTCTGAACGTTTACTATATGATTTTGATTGATGATTGCTGCAGTTGAAAAACAAGTCCGGCTTCTTTCTCCTTCACAAACTCTCATTTTCAGCATACTTGGCTACTGTACCATTATGAGAACGATAACATACGCTAACTGCGCATCTCTGTCGTCAAACAAGTGGTGATTAAGATTGCAAGTGCTTGCATGTTTTCCACGCTGAGCAGGATGCAGCTCGTTGCTCGGATGACCTGCAGCTACCAGCGAACAGATGCCGCGAAGTGGCATCCGGCCTGCTCCAACTGCCGCCGGAAGGCGCACAATGCTTCGAAGACGTCCGTGTGATGACGAGATGCACGCACATCCAGGTCGTTGCCCAAAGGAGGTCCTTTCACTCCGACCGATGTGTAAGGAAGATGGCCGCAGCTTCGAAAAAAGTCGATGCCAAGCGGGCTGTAAAGTGCAAGCCACAGCTCGTCGAATGCATTCGCCTGGCGAACTCCAGCCGCTGCGCATTTTATGCCGCTGAAGCAGCAGCGCCATGATCCATGCTTCATCTTCACTATCTTGGAATGCTTCAGCTCCACACGGACGGAGTCCCGGATCCAGTCGACAGGGCCAAGCTTCCCCTGTCTGACGAACACGCTCGCCGGATTAAGCCTTTGATCGATTTCGAAACCCATTTGTTCTACATGCTTGCCCCGTGCAGATGGGCTCAGGTCACTCAGCGGGTCGCAACCGTACCGGCTGTACACGCTGCTCTCCTCTGCCTGGCACACGGCAAACAGCAAACGCGGATCTCTGAAGGGGATTTCTTCTATCGTCTCGCAGCGTCCCCTTCCCTCACACAGCTTCTGCGAAATGGTGTTCCAGGCCAATCGCCAATCAGATATGCCTCGCTTGCCCCTGACCGCGATTTTGTGCCCGCGAGCGGCAGTTGCCGCGCCGCTCGTGGAAAGTCCGGTTCGAAGGTCATGCTTCAGAATCTGAACCGCATCTGGCTTGTCGACCACAAGATAAAGGTCGTCAAAAAGTGCACGGGTCCGAGTGCCAGGCTTGGCAAATTTAATTGCTTCGAACCGGACGATCCAATTGCTTTCGGATGGCACCCACGACAACCTGCAGCTTTTGCACTCCGCCTTCCTGCCCCCCAACGTCCAATCCCAAGAGGCCTGTTGTGGTGATCTTCGCCTGCCATTCACGCAGGTGCCAACTGCAGGCTGCTCCACCTGCAGATGTGGGTAAGCCTTGGTCAGTACTCTCTTGCACAGGCCTTGCAGCAGCAGGCCTCGCTTGTTCGGGCTCATTCCAGAGAGCGGATGTCCAGCATACAAGTTTGGGACCTTGGGGTCATGCTGGAGAATGTGCTTCAACTGCACCCACGGAAACACCACATGGTGCACCTTCGGTCTGCTCATGCACTTCAGGCCATGCATCTCGCAGCCACTAGTCCTGACGATTGCCATTGCTCGTTTGACGGTACTGATACGACCAATATTGGCATTTCTCTAATGAGGGTCATGACGATGACAAACGTTCTTCTAACCATTCTGGTCCTTGTGGTGGTAGCCATGCGGCTATGCATGCAAGTCGTGCAAGTCGTGGCACTCTGTGCTTGCTGCTGCTGTTCCTTTTCCTCCTGAATGAATCCGAAGTAATTTAAAAACTAGATCACGTCGAGGGACTCACAAACAAAAAATCATGCGTGCTCTAAGGGGGGCAGGCAGGCTCGCCGCTGCCGAGATGCCAAAGGCTTGATTCATACCACCGTCGATCCGATCGAGCTTTGACAAGCCAAACAAAAAAATCTGAAACCACCAGAACCTGAAACCTGTCCCAAATTAGACTCCGGGACCTTTCACAACATTTGCCTAAACCGATGCAAACAACAACTCTTCCCGTGAACCTCTAAAGGCCCCCTAAAACCTTCATCACAGCAAAAAGACCATGTAAACACTTTGAAGCCCCTTCAAAGCCCTTGTTCGTCTCGCCTCCCGGGCTCCTCAGCTCTCCTCGCCTCAGGGATGAGGCAGAGGGGGGAAGGGAAGAGTCCGGCATGCAAGAGTAGGGCTTTGGGGTTTGGTTTAGGATTTAGAGTTCACGGCGCTGGGATTTCGATTAAATTTAACATGAGGACGCCGCGGTGGGGAGGGGTTGGGGCTTTACAGTGAGGTTCGGGTTAGGGGTGGGCTTTGAAAGCCCGGGAGTAGAGAACCATGGCTGGTCTTTAAGTTGTTATATTCAACCCTCTTCTGTCATGCAAGGGCAGATCCGAAGCTCATGGTTTCAAGTGGCTGAAAATGCTGGGGGTTGTTGTTGTCAAAAAGGTTGAAGACGCCCGAGCACTGGTTTACTGATTGAGGCTTTAGCGGTCAGAAGGAACTTCGGTTTGGAGGCTCGTGATGTGTTTGGGCGTAGGTTTATCTTCAGATCGGCTTAGGGCCTGGAATTCATGAGGGCTTTGGGATGCAATGTGTGGTGTTTGGGCTTTCGGACAGCTGGCTCTATGTCTGGATCGCGCTGAAGGGCATGTATTCTGCCTTGCCACTGCAATGGGTACAGGCAATCTCCAATTTCGAACAACCCATTTTGGCAGTGACCACCATTCATTGTATCGGGGAATGGCCCTTGCAGGCAAAGGGCTGAACACAAAGGGTTCTGTGATTAAATCGCGCATCCCATAGCCTGACCTGCCCTCCTTAGCTGGAGCGCCGGAGTCCTAAGCCCTCACTGCTCAATCATAGGATCTAAGCCTAGCAACAGCGTAATTGCATAATGCCTCGATTTCGTGCATCAAGGAGCATTCTGTCGTTTGACAACTGCTGGCGCATTGGGCCATGATCGAAGTTTTCAAAATTTCGATGCTCAAGGGCTTCCCGCTTCCCCGACGAATCTAGGTCATGAGGTTGGGGTTTTGGCCCTAGTGCTGAGGCTTGGAGAACATCTGTGGCGCCCGGCAGTTCTGAACCCGGCGAGGGCAACGGGACAGGCACAGCAGCAGAAGTAGTCCCGCCTGTTTCCGTTGTCAAAGAGCTTCCAAACGTTCGGAGTCCCCGACTTTCGTCCGACGGTCCGACGTGGAGGAAACAGATTCATTCAGTGACAGGATCTAGGGGAACCATTCACCTACGCTTCCGTAGATGTGTGGAATCAGGTCTCCTCCGGTGGCCAGGGTAGCGTGAGTCGCGTGCAATTCACGAGGCTGCTGGAGTTTGGGGGAATCCTCAAGTCTGATGACCTCGGCGCAAGCAAGCATGAGCAGTTGAACAACTGAAACCTCCGTCAGAACACAGAAGACCACAGCCGGTAAGCTGAAAATACAGGCATAGTGCACACGATTCTTTTCAAATCCTGAACCGTGAGGGCTTTGTTTAAATCATGTGCGTTCTCCTACCTCTCCTGATGTTGCAACAGATGCATCTTCAGCAGAATAATGGATCCCAGCCCTGCAATGCAATCAGGGATTGACACCTGGGCCTGTGCTCACGATGCCGCTGCCAGCTGCAGAACTGGTGGCGCGCGAGAGCCTCGCAAGGTTTTCACCACATCATCATACATGCAACTAGCTAGCTCGTCATAACCTTCAGCTAGAGGGCTCTCTTTCAAAATCCGCCGAGGCCAGAGGCCCAGGCGTCTTGGGGGTTACCTCAAGTACCCTCCACCTTTCCTGCAGCCCAAACATTTTCCACCCCCTCGCCCGGCTTCCCTTGATTTTGCCTGACTTTTTGGCGTTTGCCTCCTCGACCCCCTGACTTTTTGCTGTTTTTGGCGTTTTTGGGCTCACTGCTGCCCCGCTGTCGCGCGCCTGTCTGGGCCCCCCGCCCCCTGCCCCCCTCCGCCCCCCCACCCCCCCCCCACCTTGCTCCTCTCCGCTTCTCCGCTTCTCCCCTCCTCCTCCCCCACCTTTCCCAGCTTGCAACAGACCCGCCTTGTTCTGCCGTTGCTGCCTCTGTTCCCTGTTTTTCTGTCTGCA